ATGCTGCTTTGGGTCTGAAGAACATCATCAACAACTTATGGGGCTTTACTCATTGTCTCCATGTTTGTTTACTTTTTCCTAAATTAGTTTCAGTAACTCTACGTTTTATTATAATACTTAACAGAGGGATAAAAGTCAGAGAAACTATTAGATGACAAGCCTAAAATACTGGAACTGAAAAACCAGAGGCTTCTCATAAATGTAGAGGCACATTTACAAAAATAGTCTCAGATAAAGTCACTGTTATGAAATGGAAGAAGAACCTGGAGGGAAAACAGCGGTGGTGCTGTTTCCTACAGATAAAACCTTTGTGAGAGAGGCCACCTCATCTGCCATTAGCCTAATTAAACACGAGGTGTGGCGAGTCATGTGGCTTTTTACAATCATCATCTATTTTTTTTTTAAAAAGCTGGTAATTGCAACAAATACTGTACAAAAAATATGATTTCAAAGAGTTTCAAGCTGCGCTGGATTTGCTGTGGGGTTTGTTTCTTTACAACACGATGCTGTTGGCTTTTTGCAGGCTGGCTCCACAGTGTGTGGTGAACCCCCACCGCTCTGTGCTGGGCACAGGAAACTATGACGTTAACGTCATCATGGCCGCTCTACAGAGCAGGGAACTGGCAGCGGTGTGGTGGGACAAACGCAGGTGAGAAGTAGTTTCAGCTTCAGGTTTATTTTGAGTATCAGCAGGACCCACTTTCAGTAATTAAATGATTTGACGCTACTTGTATCAGTACTAGATACTGGCAAATACTTTTAAATAAAAGTATTTGTATGTGTACTTGGTTTGGTTCATGTTCCTATTAAAATGTCTTTGTCTTTTGCAAAACAACAGGACGGTCCAAAGCCTTTGCATGTCAAAGGTCCAGGGCTTCATCCTCAATGTCCCCTCACGAGTATCTTTGGGCATCATGTCCCTCCCGCTCCGTCGGCGCCATTGGCTGGCGGTCCGGCAAGTTAACGGGCAGTACTACAACCTGGACTCCAAACTGAAGAGTCCTGTCTGCATCGGAGGAGAGGCAGAGCTACGGTAGGAATGTCCTCCCAACAGACATGTGGCCTGCTCTGAGTTAGAGCAAATCTTGTTTCAGTGAGTGAGTCATCCCCATCGGTCACATGGGGTTTACTTCACTCTTTTGTTTGCCTCTGGACACTGAAATCTTGTATTAGACCCGTACTGTAAACATTTCCTTTGTCTCCTCATCGCAGGACGTTTCTCAGTGAGCAGCTTTCTCAGGATGTGGCAGAGATGCTCCTGGTTGTCCAACGGGAGGTGGAGGAGGACGGTTCGTGGCTAAACTCCGACAGGGAGTGACGCTTTGTGTGTGTGTGTGTGTGTGTGTGTGTGTGTGTGTGTGTGTGTGTGTGNGTGTGTGTGTGTGTGTGTGTGTGTGTGTGTGTGTGTGTGTGTGTGTGTGTGTGTGTAAAGAACTCAACTCCTTTGGGAAAAAGACAGACTTTGTTAAACTTCAGGGAATGCACATTTTAATAGTTCTACACAAACACATAAGAGGAAAATCCAAAGAGGAGCAGAGGCTGAAGTTGACTCCTGAAATGAAGAAGATCTGATTGTTCTGACCCGTTTACCTCCATTGTCTATCTTTCTCTTGGTACTTTAGTTTTAAAGCTGAGCAGGAACACCAAAGCTGACAGAAGTTTAAGGAAAGTTTGAGGGAAAAAAACAAGCATGTTGTGAAAAAAGACTGAACTGGTCACAGTGGTTCTCAGATAATTGAAAATGAAATGAATGATCATTAAGACTTGGGTCATTAGAAACACTAATAATCATAAAATGTCATGTTTATTGAAGGAGCTGCACTGTTTCCCTGTTTGTGGTTAACTTTCTATGCACTGTGGAGTGAGATTTACGAGCTGTAATGGTGCGTTCACACCAAACGCGATTTCACCATCAGGTTTACATGCAAAGTCTATGGTGGACGCGCTTCTATCAGTGTCAGAAAGGGCTGCGGCGCCTCAAACGCGATTAGAGCAGCTTGATTTGAACGATCTGAGCGTTCGACGTGCTTGAGGTGCAAATCTGAACTTTTGCAGCTCGACGCACCGCATCAACCAATCGAGACTCCACTGTGTGACGTAGTGACATGTTTCCCAACAGGACAGTTTACTGAATGATGTCCACTAACCTGAAACAGATGGAGAGGAGCTCTTTAGCTGAAATCGAGCGCCTGCAGTCTGTGTCCTGACAGGAGATATCCTCACCAATGCGTGGCAGCGACTCATCAGACTGGACTCGGGACAAAAATAGTCCTGAAAGCGAGCTGTGAGCCTCTCCCACAGCTCCTGGGTGATGAAACTCAGAATGTCTCTGAATCATCTGGTGAATTAATTATGAATTAATTATCTGATGAACGTGACATGCTCTTGCTCTCTGTAAATAAAGCAAAGCCACTTCCTCGTCCGACGTTAAACAGAGCCTGACAGAGGAGGGAGGGGCGGGGAGGCTCTTGCCATGCAGCGCTTCAAGAGCTGTCCTGCGTCTGACCTCAAAGTGCACAAACTTGAAGCGTTGGATGCGATTTTGAAGCTGAAATCGCGTTCGGTGTGAACGCAGCATAAGTGTCTTGTTGGTGCTCATACAGGCACATATACCAGAGTAATAACCCCTGAGGTCTGTAATATGAAGCAGAATCAGTCTATTTCTTTGACCCTGAAAACCCAGATTCTTTTAAGGGTATTTCTTTGAGTTTCTTTGCCCTCATGATACCTACAAGATCAAAAATTATCTTCAAAACAAAATTCTGGCACCATTTTGAGATATTTTCTTTTGTTCAAATTTGTTTAATTGTGAAAGTTTTCCTTGCAGTTTTATTTTTAACTAAATCAGTAAATGTCTGTATTTCTGCACTGAGGTATTTTAAAGTGCCTGTGACATGCTGATCCTTCAAATACAAAAAGTAAACATCTTTATTTTAAGAACCTTGGCTTAATACATGATTTTACCCATTTTGTTACACAACTGTCATTTTCTGTTCAGCCAAAGTGAAACAGGAAGTGACTTGAAAGGGGAACACTTGAAGAAAGAAAACTCACTGGTCTTTTGTTTACTGAAATAGTATTTGAACTCCAACTCTTCATCTCTCTGATAGACTCAAAATAATCTAAAGGAACATCAGATTCTTCTCTACAGTCTGTTAGCCTTTGTTTACAACCCTCTGTTCACGTTCAGACATTTCCCTTTGACTTCACTTCCTGTTAGTTCACATACAGCTCACATCTCAACAATGGTTCATCTCAGCGGTGTGAAGTTTTTTTGCAATGTTATTGAGGTTATTACATGGAGGCAGCTGTGGTGTAGTGGTAGAGCAGCTGGCTTGGGACCCGAAAGTCACAGCTCCACTCCCGCCATGCCCATGTTGTGGTGTCCTTGGGCAAGACACCCAATCCCCAACTGCTCCCCGGGTGCCTCACATGGCTGACCGCTGCTCCACTTGGGTGTTTCTCACGTGTGATTGGTTAAATGCAGATCACAAATTTCGTCATTGAATGGTAACATGCATTGGATGACAAATAAAGCACCTTTATCTTTACAAACATTTGATGTCACAGGCAATTTAAACCTACTTCATAGTACAGACTCAGTCTTTGTTTTATTTTATACCTCTCTTCAAACATTTTTTGTTTTTCCTTACCTTTAGTATTTGAAGTCTCTATGAACCTTTGAACCCATAATATGTCAGAGTGAACAATTTGGCTATTTCATTTTTTAGTTTTGTGTTGCCATTTAAATCTAAACTATTAATAATCAGACTAAACAAGTTGACGTCACTGTGGTGTATCACTCGCTAAATCACAGCTTTGTTTATGACAGGAACTTAAAAAGCCCATTTTATTTAAAAAAATATATATAAAATGCAAGAATGTTTAGTGTTCAAACACATGCAAAAACAGTGGTTCTGTGACTGTATGCTGAATTTCTGTTTGTCTTTTTGTCTCGCCTGTTGAACTATGCAGGAGCATTGTCTCTGATAAACACTAGTGACTAACTGAGCCTGAAGCCTAAAGGTTCATGATATAGATGCTTATTTATAATAAACACTGGCTTTTTTTGTTTAAGTATGATTTTTTTTTATTCCACAGCATTTTGTGTTTTCACACTGTAGAAACAATGACAGCAGTTGTCAGGTTATTGAAGTTATTTTTATTTATATTAGACTCTTGAGTGTAAAAGGATGCCATTCAAAAGGAGCATTGATAACCATACAAACTCAATTCAAGGATTAACATTTGGTAAAGGAAGGGGAGGAGTGGGGTTCAATGAAATCTCAAACTGTATCATATATACACAAAACATCTTGGAGAAATCTCAGAAACCCAATGCTATACATAGTTATTATTGCTCGTTACGGTAGAGCTACTGCAGCACCAGTAGCAAGAATCATATTGCTATGTACCTGCTGTTGTTGCATGGGATTTGTAGTCGTCTACTCTCAAGACTCACATGGTTCTCCATTTTTAAAAGGGTTTTAGAAGCCCTGAAATTTTTTAAAATATATTTTCTAAAGAGGAATAGTTCAGATCTTTAACAGTGGGGCTGTGTAGAAAAGTTATGAACAGTTAAAACTAGCTTGATGCAAATAAATCTTTGAAGGACATCAGTTTAGAGAAAACGTTTAATTCTTACTAGAACTATGAGCTAATGCCTTGGACTAGCATTTAGCTTGTCAGACAAGAAGTTCACTCAACCCAGCCATTAGCTTATTTGGCTAGCAGTTAGCGCATCAGACCAGCTGTTAGCTTGTCAAACTAGCCATTAGCTCTTCTAAATAGCAGTTGTTTAATTTGGCCAGCCATTAAATCATCGAACAAGTCATTAGCTCTTCTGACTAGCAGTCATTTCGCAAAGCCAGGCATTAGCTCGTTGGACTAGCATTTATCTTACTGGGCAAGCTTGAGCTAACTTAGCTGTTAGCTCTTTGAACTAGCCATTAGCTTAGCTGGGCTAGCCATGAGCTTGTCAGAGTAGCAGTCTACTTATTGAGCCAGCCATTAGCTCATTTGGCTAGTTGTTAGCTTGTGAAACTATCCATTGGCTTATTGGACAAGCAGTCTCTGTTGATGCAAGGTGCAGCCATGTTGAAATGATGACGCTCAGGCTGCTGAGGTCCTTTTGTGCCAACCTCTCGACTCGAAAAGAAACTCAAAACTTGAAAATTACAACTCGGGAGTCCAAAACCACAACCTCCGAGGACAACTGTAACAGCATTAGCTTGTCAGACTAGCAGTTGTCTGATTAGGATGGCCAGCAGCTTGTTGGGGAAGCCATTATTACGTTGGACTAGCCCTTAGCTTGTCAAACTAGTCATTAGCAACTTATTGAGCTAGCCATTAGCTTGTTGAGCTAGCCGTTAACTTGTTAAACTAGCCGTTAGCTCAGTGGACTAGCCGTTGGCTTGTTAAATTAGCAGTGAACTCATTAGGCTGGCTGGTAGCTCATCAAGCTATTAGTTTTATTTCTCCAGACAGTGTACCTGTTTAAATAGCTATGTACAGCAGTAAGGTCATTTTTAAAAAACTGTTCCACAGAACCCCACTTCCAAATATCTGAACTACTGTTTTAAGAAAGATGGTTCAAGATTGCTGTAGACAGTGAAATATACAGAGTACCACTGTAAGGTAGTACAAGAGAAATACAGAACTGCCACCTATAAAAAGTAATAATAAAAAAAATATACCAAGTGAAGGAACTGCATGACCATTCACAGAAAACAAAATGTGTTTTGCTACGTGCCAGAGTTTTTCTTCACAATATTCATATAAAAACATGAAAATAACTTGGTGATACAGATACATGTAAGAATATAAAACTACAACGCAGTAGCATCAATACCATTCTGACTCGCCTTGTCACTGTTCACAGTTTACACACAGTTTCGACACACAAAGAAAAGAAAACGAGACCAAGTGGTCTTGATTTATAGCTTTGCACAAAACCAGCACTATGCCAGCTGGTACCATCAGCAGTCCTTTCAGAACTGTTTCTTTTAAGTGCTTTTATTAATAATTTTCGGTGGTACTGACGTTACACACTTTAAATTTACATCTAGCATTCATTTTATTTAGATTAGTATCTTTTTTCCCCATTTCATTAAAGTGTCCATTCATATGAAAACTAAACCTTTTTTTCTATACATTTTCTAACCTTTTTTTTTAACGTGAATACAGGTTCCTCGAATGGGGTGGGTTAGGGTGTGATTGATTTCCCCCATAACCAGTCAGCATGCTGGGAGAGTACTGTATAACAGAACCCAGTGAAGCCAGTCAAGACAAAGGATGTCGAAGAGGTCCAAAGGCACATAAAGAGAAAATAAGAGATAAAAAAAACATGTTACTCTCATATGAAGATAATCTAACAAAAAGCAATAACATGTTTTAAAATCCATTCATGTTTTTCTTTGACACAAATCCAAACATTTTATTTTCATGATGTACCAAATACTTTTCTGGGGTAGAGGGTTTGGACAGCAGAAAGACCAATTATTAAATTGTTGTAACGATCATGGTGCATGCAGTTAAAGCAATAGTTCAGGTCTTTTAGAGTGGAGTTGTGTGGAAAAGTTATGAACAAGTAGTATCTCACCTGTTGTAGATAGCTCTAAACTCTAAAAGCTAATGGCTAGCATGAACAGAGCTAAGGCTATAATAGAGTGTTTTAAAACAACTCCAATTTTAAACATTTTACAGTGGTTTGTGGGAATGTTGTTTTGTGTACCTTTACACTGGCAGTAATCTCAAATTTTATGTTTTTTTTTTTTACAAATCTGTGTTTTTTTAAGCACAAATGGCTGCAACTAGCTGTAGCTTTTCCTGTGCAGCCTGGAGTACTTCCTGAGGGAATATTCTGTTTTAACTAACTTATAGCTCGTCAGTCTGACCCGTCATTTAAAGAATTATCTTCAACAGGTAAGACACTGACTGTTTATTACCTTTACACAGAACCCCACTTTTATAGATTGGAACCATCTTTAGGGTGACAACACAAATATTTTCTAGTTACAAAACACGAGCACAAATATAAACATCTCAAGCAAAAGTAATGAAGGGTTAAAATCCCTAATGAAGCATCAACGTTTTTAAAAACATTATTTTTAGTTGTTTTAAAAGAATAATAAACACAGCACAGTTGTCTATTTACTTTAAAACTTTTAGTTTTTAATACCTTCTTGAGGCTCCTAAAATACTATTTCCATGTGGATGCATGATTCTGTTAATCAGCCAAGAGCGGAACAAATTTTTCATTTAGTGAATTAGCTTTTTCACTAACTTTTTCACCAATTAGCTTCCGCTAAATTAGGGTTTGCCAACTTTAAATGGATCCACGATTAGTTGTAACATTATCAACATTGATAAACGTTTATTGTAACTGTAAAATAAAGACTGTAAAAATACTGTAGGCTGTTTAGTTTTGCAAATTTTTAAAAATGTATTTTAACATGGACGGAGCCATTTTATTTACATGCAAAGCATTCTGGGTAAATGATGACATGGACAGGTCATCGGTATGAGCGAGCTATATCCACTCTGAAGGATAATCTTGGACAATATCTGATGATCGACTCTTTTAAATAAAACCAGAGAGCGTTGACAGAGAGGAGAAGGTAGAAATAACTCAGTCTGTAACTGAAAATATAGATGTAGGACAACAGAGCTGCTTCATGGAAGAAGAACCTCAGCCTGTTAGCCTTTGCGCTAGCGCTGACGCTATATTGCCTTATATGCAGGGCTGGGTAAAAAAAAAAAATCAATTTTATCAATCTTGGATTGATTTCATTTAAATTTGAGAAAATCGATTCACAGGACATGAGATAGATTCGTTCCCACGGCGTCTTGTACACGTGTTTCTATATTTTGTCACTTCTGGCTTGCTGTATATTTACATCCGGTTGACATTCAGTGCTAACATAGCTTTCAATAACAAGTTGTCTGGATCAAAACAAAAGAAACTAAGGAATCACTAACGTTACCAATCGACTCTCTGCAGAACTTAAAGATAACAGAGACCATGGGGACTTCTGTTTGCAAAGATTTGCACTCCTACATGGTAGCGAAAATGAAGCAGGGTTTGATGAGCGGCTAGTTAGGCACTCGAACCAAACTACGGTATGTAAACATCTGACTGAACTGTTCTCCACCGGCATGTTTAAACGTGTTAAAGACGACATTCTAACAAAATCGTTTAGTTTTGTTACTCGGGGTGACCCATATACTGTATTACCAATATTATTATTTTTGCGCTGAGCTAAAACATATATATGGTGAGAGCATCGGGGCTAACGCTAAAGCTAACAGGCTAAGCTGTGGTTCTTCTTCCATGAAGCAGCTCTGTTGTCCTTCATCTATATTTTCAGTTACAGGCTGAGTCATTTCTACCTTCTCCTCTCTGTCAATGCTCTCTGGTTTCATTTAAAAGAGTCGATCGTCAGGTATTTTCCGAGACTAACCTTCAGGGTGGATATAGCTCGCTAGCAGCCTTGCACAGATGACCTATCCGCATCATCATTTACCAGAATGCTTTGCGTGTAAATAAAATGGCCCCGTCCATGTAATATACTTTTAAACTTTTAGTTTAAAAATGATAAAACTAAACAGCCTACAGTATTTTTACAGTCTTTATTTTACAGTTAAAATACATGTTTATCAAATAAAGTCTAATGTTACAACTAATCATGGATCCCTTTAAGTCTGCTAACAGCTAACTAACAAGCTAATATGAATGGGCCCAGCCCCTATTATCTATTAGTTCATCTACTCTGTAGGACTTCGTCCCCAAACAGACCACTTCGTAGTTACAAACTGGTATGACAAGGTGAGCACTTGTCACTACGAAATGGTCTATTTTCCAATCAGATCATTCTGAGACTGTCTACTGAAGGTAAGATACTGACTACTCACCACCAATCCATAAAACCCAACTTTAAAGACCATGACACTAAGCTCATGTTGTTGACTGAACATTTCAGTGAGCGAGGTTGTGGTTTAACTACTGGTCATCAAGTCGAGCGCTGTTACAGCAGTGAAAACAAAACGCACAGGTCGTTACGGTCTCACAGGTACAGAGGAACTCACAGAGGGGGGTGGGGACTGCCTGTCAGTCAGGGGTAGGCTCTCATAGCCAGGGTTGCCATTGGAGGAAACGTTTGGAGTCCTGTATGGAGACAGAAAGAGACAAGGACAGAGGGGGTGGGGGGGTGACACAGGTGAGACACATTCAGAAAGGCAGAGGGGACAGAGGCCATGGGGGGGTTACGGGACCCAAAGACAGGTGAAAAGGAAAGAAGAAGAAGAGAAGTGATTAGAAAAAAGCTGCAGAAAAGCACAGCGCGTTTTAGAGCTATGAGGTATCAGTGCTTTGGAGCTAGCAGCACTCAGGTGAGGCACTGCGAGCACAAACGGTCCACTCCTCACTGAAAGGGATTAAATATTCTGCAATTTAAGACTGCAGTGTTTTCTCTACTGAACCTGCTCATCTGCACCATTAGAACCCTCGAGAACTTTTAAACCATGTTCCACAGAAGAGGAATTAGAATTGTTTTTATTTATTTTTTTGATTTCATCTCAGTGGAGTGGACTGTATTTTCATTCTACGGCTGAATTTCTGAGCTTCTTTTGTGTTTGTGTTATTTCTGTGAGCATTTAGCAGCACTAAATATGCTGGTCAGCGAGGAAGAGGAGGAGGAAGAGAGGGAGAACCAAACAGGAAGCAAAAAATCAGAATCACGAAGAGAGAAGGAGCAGATTTGGACACAGATGCAGGAATGAGGGTGGGTGGAAGAAAGGGGGCGGGGCAGGTGTCGAGAAGGAGTTACCTATCGTCAACCTGAGCCTCACGTCGCCGGAGACTTTTTTTGTTTTTGTTTTTACGAGCGCAGCCGGGGTCGACGCCACCCTCCCTCCCCCCGCAGCGCAGCAGCAGCAGAAGGGGACGGGCCGCTGTCGCCGCCGCTTTGAAAGCAGATTGGTGAAAAATGTCCCGAGCGGGCCTACGTCTGTCCTGAAACACGCGACAGACGGATAGACAGACACACAGACAGACAGACAGACCTCTGCACTCGTGTCTGTTTCTCTGCCTAAGCTCTCCCTCAGACTGACCTGTCTGTGTGTCTGTCTGCAGCTCGTGTGCTCAGCCTGGCAGCTCTGACCCTACCTGTCTGTGTGTCTGTGTGTGTGTGTGTGTGTGTGTGTGTGTGTGTG